GAGCTGTCCCTGGTAGAGCGACCCCGAGCAAGGAGAGTCCAAGACATTCTGGAGCAAAACTGGACGGTGGCTCTAGTAGAGAAGCCAGACCATCCCGCGCAATACCAGTGTAACATGGTCGGGGAACCGAGAGAGGCATGGCCGACCTTGGTGGCATAATGTATCAAGGGGCATATGGGTTCTGCAAGTTTGAAGGCAGGCCCGGCCCAGGCATGGTCTACAACCACGAAAAGCGGGAGTGGGAGGAGCCGACGGCACTAGAGCGGGAGTTGGCGCTGGGCATGGTGCCTAGAGCAACGGCGGCAGAGGGGATGATGGAATGGCAGCACTGCAGAGCTCTAGGGAGGGCAATGGATGTGCAGGCAATGTCGTGGATCTTCCACACCATTCAAGTGCAAATGGTCCGACTACAGCTAGAGAAGTGGGCCCATATCATCAGCCAGACAGAAGTAGCGACAACAGAAGCGAGGTCTGCAAGAGAGAACCATGTCAGGTGCATAGAGGAGCTGGAGCTTGAGTTGAAGGCAATCAACCAGGACGGATGACCACCTGCAGCTGATAGAAGGAGGTTGCCGTACATGAGAGGAGTCTTCTCGCATGCACCGACCTACGCTCTGATGGCATCAGAAGCGGTAGAAGCGGCAGCGCCAGCCACGACAGAGCACACCTAGCAGATTGGAGATGGACTGATGCAGAGCCAGGCAGACGAGATGCGACGCTTGCTGGAAGAAAGGCGAGCGTCATTCGCCTTCACCTTGAAGCAGCTGGGCAAGTGTACCAAGGAAGAATTGAAGATCAAGGTGGTGCGCGAGACCCCAAGCTATCAACGCGAGAGGCGCATGAGCCCGGGCGACGAGGCACTATGCCGGGAGAAATGCAAGGAGTTGCTAGATGCCGGGTTGATACGCGAGTCGGAGTCTGACTATGCAGCCGTAATGGTGGTGGCCACCAAAATGGACGTGGCAGGGAAGGAACATGGAAAGAGGATGTGCGGGGACTACCGTGATCTGAACAAGCTGACGAAGCCTGACGGGTACTCTATGCCGTCAGCAGAGGAAATCTTCACAAGACTGTGGGGAGCCGCCGTACACTCCACCACAGACATGAGGCAGAGATTCAATCAGATCCCCGTCAAGGAGGAAGACAGCAGGAAGACGGCGTTTCATGGGCTGGATGGGCTGTACGAGTGGTAGTAGATGCCGTTCGGGTTGCGCAATGCCTCAGCGGTCTTCCAGCGTATCATGAACCGGGTCCTGAAAGGGATGGAATTTGCGGCGTGCTACATCGATGATGTCATCATCTTCAGCAGGAGTGTTGAAGAGCATGTGGAGCATGTGAGGCGGGTTCTGGATGCAATCCAGGAAGCTAGGCTGACCTGCCACCTGGGAAAGTGTCGCTTCGGGTAGAAATCGGTGCAGTACCTGGGGTTCGAGGTCAGCGAAGGGCGCATGACCATCCAGGAGGCGAAGGTGGCAATCCTGGACTGCCTCGCCACACCCAAGGACAAGAGCACGCTGCGAGCCATGCTGGGATTCCTCAACTCCTACCACAAGTTCATACCTAACTTCAGTCTGCGGGCCGTGCATTTGCATGCGCTCCTGAGGGAGGACAAGGCCTGGCAATGAGGGGAGACTGAGGAGAGAGCCCTAGCAGATCTGCTCAACGCAGTGAAAAATGGTCCCGTGCTTCATTGGCCATCGAAGGACGAGCCGTTTGTACTGTACACGGACTGGAGCAGCGCAGGCATAGGAGCAGTCCTGTCACAGGAGGGGAAAGAGGGAGAGCTATTGGTAGCCTTCGCCAGCCGGAGCTGCACCACCACCGAGGCGAATTACAGTTCATATGAAGGAGAAGGGCTGGCGGTAGTGTGGGCAGTGCATCATTTCCATATGTACCTGCAAGGAAGGCGATTCACGCTGGTAACCGACCATCAACCACTCACGTTCCTGATGAAGAGTCAGACTCTGACGTGCAGAAATGCAAGCCACAGGCCAGGCAATACACTGCAGCATGTGGATGGACTGTCGAGGAATCCGCCGCCACCACGAGCAGCAGCAGCCTTCTTGACAGTGCTAGCTAAGGAAGTGGAGAGGGCAGGAGCGGTCAAGACATGCGGACCTAGCCCGGAGGATGTCTGGCTCGATAAAGAGACCCTAGCGTGGATCAAAGGAGAAGCAGGGGAGACTAGAGAGACCAGTGAGAGAGCCAGGAGCAGGGGGCAACACTACCGTTGGTTTGAAGGGCAGCTGCAGCTCCAGAAGAAAGAAGGGTGGAAGGTGTTTCCTAAACTCGAAGAGAGGGAGGAGATAATCAAGAAAGTGCATAACAAGTTGGGACACTACGGGCACGCGACAACAACGCATCTAGTGGCAGCCGAACACTGGTGGGCAGGCATGGGTAAGCAAGTGAAGATGGTAGTGGGCAGCTGCGAACCATGCAGTCGTAGCAGGATGCAGCAGGAACAGAAAAGAGGACAGCTCCAGTCACTAGAGGTGCAGGAGCCAGGTTTCCGCTGGTCACTAGACATGGCAGGGGAGCTCCCAGTGAGCAAGAAGGGCAAGAAATACATCCTAGTGATGTTCGAGCATGCAAGCAAGTGGATATAGGTGCGGGACCTGCGCAGCAAGAACTCAGCGCTGGTGGCCGAGGCCTTCGTGGATCAGGTTCTGACCCTATTCGGGGCCTGCGGAGAGGTGGTTACCGATCAAGGCACAGATTTCCTTGGAGCCTTCGATAAGTTGCTGGGGGAAGTGGGCATCACACACCGGCACACATCGAGGTACCACCCCCAGGGGAATGGGCTGACAGAAAAGATGGTGCAGACCCTGAAGCGCGGACTGAGGGCATACAGAGTGGAGATGAGCTGGGATGAGGAGCTACAATGGATCGCAGCGGGGTACCACTTCAGCAAGCAGGCGGCGCTGAGGGACCTGTCCCCTTACTACCTGTTGTTTGGGAGGGAACCAATTCTGCCGGTAGATGCACCCAAGCTGCTTAGGGATGTCGTGGTTGCCGAAGAGCCAGAGAAATGGGTGGCCCTAGCGGAGGCAAGAGCACGGTACTTGAAGGCGCTGCTGCCAACGACTTTGGAGAACCTCCACACCGCGCAGCTGAGAGATGCCAGACGGTACCAGCAGCGGCAGCAGCAGGGAGGACTCTACAAAGGGGCTGCCGTGGAGCCAGGGCAGGAGGTGTATATGAGAAGGGCCAAGCAGGACCAGCTGGACGTGGGTCTGACGACAAAGCGCTGGAGGGTGAAGGAGGTGAAGCCGTCCGGGGTCATGGTATTGGAGAACGCTGACGGCGGCACCCGACGAGATCACGTGACTAACGTAGCACGGGCAAGAGAAGTTCGTCTCACTCATTTCAGGAGCTTCCCAGTGGCTAGGCAGGAGCTGAACACCACTGGGAGGGGGCAAGTGGGTCAGCAGAGCGGAGCAGAGGTAGACTGAGCAGGATGTTGAAGGGAGTCATTCAGGCAAGCGAGGCAAGGAGTAAAAGAGAAGGAGGAAGAGGATGGCATCAAGGAGGGAGGGAGTCTGATCGCCAGCCGGAAGAGAGAAATGGAGGAGGGCAGAGAGGGAGGGACATTTGCCGACAGCTGTCGCAGAACTGGGCTGCTCCCCATTTCTGCAACAGAGTTATAAGCAAGGGTAGGGAGTATTGCGGTGTAGCAGGACAAGAGGGAATTGATTATTCGCGAGTATGAAGGTTCGGCAGGAACCGGTTCGGACCAAGCCATCAACGACATACCGAGAAGTAGGGACAGCTGGGTGGCTCTAGGGTGACGAGGTAGCACGGTCCTGATTGGGTGAGCAGAGTGTATTCGGCATAACCAAGGGATAAGGTTGGGAGGCATTGGGGGGAGCTTGTACAGGAATGAGGTGTGCATGCTTGCGAATGTGTACCATAGCATGGAATGCCTGAAGCGGTCGTCAGGACGGGGATCCGTCCCGCTTCGCAGGATCCTTTGCCTAGCAGTAGCAGTTGTACATAGGGTAGCTGCCAGTGCTCTGAATCCTGCTCGCTTGTTTGTTTCTTGCACAGTTTGAATCAAGCATCACTTAACCCAAGTGACCTGTTCTCAGACAGGGGACCGTTGACTGAGAGGCTATGGCATAGCTTGGGTAGCCAGGATGCGGTGGCCGTACTTTTTCAAGTGGGTCAGCAGAGCGGGGCAGAGGTAGACTCAGCAGAATATCGAAGGGAGTCATTCAGGCAGGAGAAGCTAGGAGTAAAAGAGAAAGAGGAAGAGGATGGCATCAAGGAGGGAGGGAGTCTGACCACCAGCTGGAAGAGAGAAATGGAGGAGGGCAGAGATGGAGGGGCATTTGGCGACAGCACCGAGCGAATCTAAACATCCAACCGCTCGCCGAGCCTACTATCGAACCTGTGAAGATTCTTAGCCATCAGATCAAAGACCCTCGAGGGGCTCGCCTGATCGAGTTTCTGATATCTTTGAAGGACCGGACAGCCCTGGAAAACAGCTGGGTGCCCCTGGCACAGATCGAGAATTACTCAGTGTTACGAGTCTACCTCCAGTCACACAATGTGCGCGACGTTGGCGGTGTTAACTAAGACCATACCTTGAAGGGGGGAGGGTGTAAGGAAATGGCATTTCATTATCACGAGTTTTAGTCAGTAAGGCGAACACTGCTATAGTATAATGTGTTAGAATATACCATGCTATGCTAGTTGTGTATATTGTGTTTACATTCCTAGTTGGGTGTACACCTGTGTTGGGGTGTCAATCCAACCCAATTGTGGTTGGAGCCCCCAAACACAAGGACCACAATTGTGGGGGCACCACAAGTGGGTTGGCTAAACCACTGGTGGTACACCACACTTGGACCACCTCCAACTGGTGGTCAACCACATTTGGAAGGAGCCTCCCTCCCTTGTGATTGGTCCTAACCCCCCCTTCCCTTCCAACCTTCCCTTCCTAGCTCATCTCTCTCTTCCTATGTAATGCCTTTCCTTCATCAATAAACTGAACCTTTCTGTTTCTAACATGGTATAGAGCAATAATGGCTCACGCCAACTTTTAAATCCCGATCCTTCCCCACGCTTCCGCCCCGTCCCCTTCCAACGTGCACCTCATTGCCGTCCCCTCCATCGCCGCTGCTAGACTCCTAGCCGCCGCCTCTCAACTAGTTTTCTGTTGGGTGGATTTTCAAAAACCCCCAATGCGCCAAACGCCATAGCTCGCTCGATCGTTGACAGAATTAAGTGATTCGACTTGCAAAAGAACGCTCTTGGTGTCAGCTACAACGTCGTAAAATTTCGGACTGTTTCATCGCTTGGATTGTCAGATATCGCTTTCCGAAGTTTGCACACTTTCCTCTATGTGATCACGAAGTGCTACTGAAATTTCTACCAAGTCCTATTTTCATCAGCTAACTGCCATCTTTCCCCATCTTTTGCCTCCTCACCTGCACCTGCTCATCGCCGCCTTACCACTGCTGCAGCCGTAGCAGCAGCAGCAGAAGCAGCAGCAGCACCAGAAGGAGCAGCAGCAGCACCAGAAGGAGCAGCAGACTCAGCAGCAGCAGCAGCAGCAGCAGCAGCAGCTGAAGGAGTAGCAGCAGCAGCAGCAGCAACATCGGCAGCAGCAGCAGTGGCAGCAGCAGCAGCGGCAGCAGCAGCAACAGCAACAGCAGCAGCAGCAGAAGGAGCAGCAGCAGCAGCAGTATCTACAGCCATCCCCATCCTCCCCTCCTCTTTGAGCCGCCGCGGGCCCACCCGCCGCCGCTCCCTCCTGGCCACCGCGGGTCCACCCGCCGTCGCCTTCCTCCCACTCCGTGTCACCAATGTCATCCTTTCCCCCTCCCGTCGACGTCTCGACCCTCGATCATCTCGTGCGCGCTGCCGACAACTCAGCAACCAATTGGTATTCCTTCGTCGGCAGCCTCCACCGCGTCCTCGGCAGTGCTTATGTCCTGCCGTTCCGCCTCCTGGACATCATGCTTGGTCTCCCAGAGGGTGACCTTGGGGACCCGCCGCCTCACCCTGGCGATCCCCCCCCTCTCATTCCCCATCCCGGCGAGGAACCTTCGCCCCCCATAGTACCCGTTGGCACCAGCACTCGCGCTGCCACCGCTGAAGCTGAGCAGCTCTTCCTTACTCAGCGTCGTGAGTTCCTCGTGCTCCATACTGATTACCTGATCGCGTTGGAGGAACACGAGCGGTCGGCAACCCTCCGCACCCAGCATGCCGCTACCGCCGCCGCTTATGCCGCTGACTCTGCGCGATTTGCTGAGCGTCGTCGCGCCTGGCTCGAGGCGGACAGCCGTGCTACTGATGCCCTTCTCCTTGCCATCCCGTCTGCGCTCATGCGCAACTTCCAGGCACGTCGCATCGGCTCCCGCCAGATCTGGCTCGAGCTTGAGGCAATGTTCGAACGCACCGACTTCGATGCTGTCGGACCGCTCTTCAAGGAATACTTCAGCATCACGATCGAACATAGTGCTGGCGCCGTTGACTACACCAGCCGTCTCCTGGACCTTGCCTCCCGCCTTGAGGCTCGCCAGACTACTCTCCCCCCCAACCTTCAGATCTACCGTCTCCTCGAAGGCCTCTCCCCTCAATATGAAGTGCGCGTCATCGCCTTCACTGAGGCTCAGCCCCGCGCCTCCCTTGACACTGTGGTCCAATGGATCATTGACGCTGAGGCCCACCTTCTCTCAACCCCCCCCTCCGGCCTGAACTCCACCGCGTCCCAAAACCCCCAGCTTGCAGTCACACAGCCGCGTCGTGGCGGGCGCCCACGTGGCGGCCGCACCAACCCTCAGGGAGGGGGTGGAGGTGGCGGTTGTGGGGGCAGCGGAGCCGGCGGCGGTGGTGGCGGGGTCGAGGGTGGCAGCAGTGGTGGTGGTGGCGGCAGTGGTGGCTCATCTGGTAGCCGTGGTGGCCGCCCTGGCACTCTCCCCCCATGTTCCTATCTTCGCCGTTTTGGTCCCAGGGCGGGTGAGCGCTGCACCCAAACCAACCATCCCCCCGCAACCTGCTTCAAGGCGTATGATGACGCCTGGTTCGAGCGCGGCAACACTGGCACCCCCCCACGCTGGTCTGCCATGGATCCCCGCCCCTCTCTCCAGGATGTCAAAACTCTTCCGTCTTTCCTCCCCTCTCATCTTCAGCTCTCCTCCTCCTCCTCCTCTGTCGCTGACCCCATAACTCCCCAGGAGCTGCAGCAGTTTCGCCGCTTCCAGCAGCTGCAGCTGCTGCAGCAGCAGCAGCAGTGGGGCTCTGGTGGTCAGGCTGCAGCCGCAGCTGCAGGAGCCGCAGCCGCAGCATCTGCATGGCAGCAGCAGCAGCTTGGCTTTGGCACCGCCGCCATGGCTGCCACAGCCACACCAGGTCCTCCTGGCTTTCCCCTCTGGGGCTCTCCTTCCCCTAGTGCTCCCGCCTCCCACTCCAGCTTTCTAGGCGAGCTCATGCGTTCTTCCCCTGCTTCCACTTCCATGTATCCCTCTGTTTTTAATGCCAGTGATTTCCAGTACCCCGTGTCTTCAGCTCCCTCCTCGCTCACGATTGACTTTGTTCTCGATAGTGGTGCCACTGAAACTGCCCTCAAAGACGCCGGCACCCTCACCTCCCTCCCTTTCCCCACCAACGTTCATGGTGCTGATTCCAGCTTCTCCATCCCTTGCACTCATCTCTCCACCCTCCCCTGCCCCCCCTTCCCCTCTGGAGTGGTCACTGGTCTCCACATTCCCTCCCTTCGTCATAACCTGCTCTCCATTCGTGAACTCCAACAGGCTGGCATCACTACCCTCTTCCCCGCCTCTGCCACCTACTGTGACCTCCTCCACGGCCCCACTCGCCGCCTCCTTCATCGCCTCCCACTTTGCCCTCGCTCTCGTCAGTACATCCTCCGCACACCCCGCCCCTCCTCATGCCACGTGACCACTCGTGCAGGCACCTCCACTCTCCCCCCTCCCCTCCCTCTAGAGCCACCTTCCTCCAACTCCACCTCCTCCCCATGCTCTTGTCGCGCACTGTCCCACCCCGCTGTTCTCATCCACCACCGCCTTGGTCATATGAACTTTCCCACACTTCGTAAAGCCATCTCCTCCCGCTTGCTTGACGGTCTTCCCCCCACTCTTCCTCCCCTCCCGTCCTCTTCCGCTCCCCCATGCGCCACATGCATTCATGGAAAGCTCAAACAACAGCCTCACCTCAGTCATCCTTCCTTTGCTGCTGCCCCCCTTGACCTCGTCCACATGGACCTCTAGGGCCCTAACCCTTCCCCTTCCCGCCAAGGGCACCGGTACCTGCTTGTCCTAGTCGACGACCACAGCAGGTACTCCTCGGTGTTCCTCCTCCACACGAAGGCCGAGGCCCCTGCTGTCATCGTTACCTGGGCCGAGCAGTGCCGAGTCCACTTTGGTCGCCCCATCCGCCGCCTCCATTCCGACGGCGGTGGTGAGTTTCTCAACCGCACCCTCTCCTCCTACTGCTCAACCCATGGCATCCAGCAGACTCATACCCTTCCCCACTCCCCTCAGCAGAACGGTGTTGCTGAGAGTCGCATTCGTGAGATCACCAAGACGGCCCGCTGCCTCCTCACTCATGCCTCCACGCCCCCTTCTCTTTGGGGCTATGCCCTTGTCCATGCTGCTCTCCTTACTAATCTTTACCCACATCCTCAACGCCAGTCTGTCACTCCCACTGAGCTCTGGGCTAGCACCAAGCCAGATGCTGCCATTCTCCGTATCTGGGGTTGCAAGGCATATGTCCTCATTCCCCCACCTGACCGCTCTCGGCAGGCAGGAAAGCTCGCCTCCAAGGCCATTGAGTGTGTCTACCTTGGCCACGCTCGCTCTGCCCCTGGTTACCTCTTCCTTCACCCGTCCTCAGGCCGCCTCCTACAGAGCCGTGACGTGGTGTTCGATGAGAGCATCCCGTTCTATCATTCTGTTCCGCCTTCCGACCCCCTTCCTCCTCTCTCCCGCCCCCTCACCTGGGATGATGCTATCATTCCCCCACTCCTTCCCCAGGCTCCCCTCCTTCTTCCAAATCCTGCTCCTCCCCCTCCTCCTTCCTCAGGTGACATTTACGACCCAGCTGTCCCTGACTCCCCTGCTCACTCTGCCTCATCGCACCAGCAGCAGCAGCAGCAGCAGCAGCAGCAGCAGCAGCAGCAGCAGCAGCAGCAGCAGCAGCAGCAGCAGCAGCAGCAGCAGCAGCAGAAGGAGCAGCAGCAGCAGCAGCAACAGCAGCAGCAGCAGGTGCAGCAGCAGCAGCGGATGGAGCAGCAGCAGCAGCAGCAGGAGGTGCAGCAGCGGATGGAGCAGCAGCAGCAGCAGCAACCGCAGGCAGTGCAGCAACAGCAGCCGCAGCAGGAGGTGCAGCAGCAGCACCAGCAGCAGCCACAGCAGCAGCAGCAGCAGCAGCAGCCACTGCAGCAACCTCATCGGCATCGCCGCACCACCTCTCCGTTCATCCTCCCACGCATCCACACTCGCTCTCACGGCCCACTCATAGGCCATCCATGGGGTTGGCCAACACCACCCCCACCCTCCCTTCCCTTCATTGAGGACTCCCATGAGGAGCTCATTGGCGTTCAGCAACAAACACCTTCCCTCACGCCTCTCTACCCGGGCTTCCTTGGCCTCCTCATCCTTGGCATCGCTACCGCTCCCACCAGATTCACTCCGTCCAACTTCCTTGAGGCCATCACCTGCCCCGATGCTGCCAAGTGGATCCAGGCTATCTTTGCTGAATGCGAGGCCTTCATCCGCAATGCCTCATTCGTTAACATTGTCCCCTCTCCTGACGACGTCATTGTTGAAGGCCTCTGGGTGTTCCGAGTGAAGCAGCTGCCGGGTGAGGAGCCGGTCTACAAGGCCCGGTATTGTGCCAAGGGCTTCACCCAAACCCATGGCATCGACTACTGGGAGACATTCTCTCCCACTGCCAAGCTCCCAACTCTCCGTGCCATCCTCGACTATGCTGTTCGCATTGGCATGGAGATTGCCTCCATGGATGTCTCCAACGCCTTCCTGCAAGGCGAGCTCCAGGAGCGGGTCCTCTTGCGGCGGCCTCCAGGCTTTCATGCAGCCTTCCCTGCCAACACAGTCTGGGAGCTGCGCCGCCCGGTTTATGGCCTCAAGCAGGCTCCTCGCGAGTGGCACAACAAGCTGGCCGCCACTCTGCAGTCCTTGGGGTTCCATGCCTCTCAGTCTGATGCCAGCCTTTTCCTTCGCTCCTCTCCCACCCGCTTCTTCATCCTGGTGTATGTCGACGACATGATCCTGTTCGCTGACGATGCTGCCGCCATGCAGCAAGTGAAGGACGCCCTGCATGCGCACCTCAAGTGCAAGGACCTGGGTGAGCTCAAGCACTATCTGGGCATGACCATCACCCGGGACCGCACATCGCGCACCATTACCCTCTCTCAGTCCTTCTACATCGACCAAGTCTTGCAGCGGTTCGACATGGCGCAGGCCAAGCCGGTTACCACTCCCCTGCAGACCGACCACCAGCTTGCCCCTCCTCCTGCTCCCTCCTCCTCTGACCATCCTTACGCTGAGCTCGTCGGCTCGCTGATGTACGCTATGATGTGCACCCGCCCCGACCTTGCCTACCCCATCAGTGTTCTTGCTCGATTCGTCGGTACCGGTCGCCACACTGATGAGCACTGGGCTGCAGCGAAGCGGGTCCTCCGCTACCTCCGTGGTACCAAGGACTATGTCCTCACCCTCGGAGGCACTTCTCCTCCCCTCCTCTCTGGCTTCAGTGACTCCTCCTGGGCTGACTCCCAGCCGGATCGCCGTTCCTCTCAAGGCTACGGCTTCACCCTTGGCAGCGGCCTCATCAGCTGGCGCTCCACTCGCTCCTCCTCCATCGCCCTCTCATCCTGCGAGGCTGAGCTCTATGCTTGCACCATGGCCGCTCAGGAGGCTCGCTGGCTCACCTTCCTCCTTGCTGAGATCGGTGCTCCTCAGCGCTGTCCCACCCTCTGGTGCGACAACGCCAGCACCATCCATCTCACAAAGGACCCTGTCTTCCATGGCCGCTCCAAGCACATTGAACTCCGCTACTTCTTCGTTCGAGAGTTGGTCTAGCAAGGTCACTTGGTGGTCCGCAAGATCGCTGCAGAGGCCAACTTGGCCGACATCTTCACCAAGGCCCTCCCGAAGACCGCGCACTCTGCCCTCCTCCGCCTCCCTTCCTGATTCTGGGGTTGTACCCTACATATACACTAGCTTTGCATGCTATGGGGTTGTGTTAGAATATACCATGCTATGCTAGTTGTGTATATTGTGTTTACATCCCTAGTTGGGTGTACACCTGTGTTGGGGTGTCAATCCAACCCAATTGTGGTTGGAGCCCCCAAACACAAGGACCACAATTGTGGGGGCACCACAAGTGGGTTGGCTAAACCACTGGTGGTACACCACACTTGGACCACCTCCAACTGGTGGTCAACCACATTTGGAAGGAGCCTCCCTCCCTTGTGATTGGTCCTAACCCCCCCTTCCCTTCCAACCTTCCCTTCCTAGCTCATCTCTCTCTTCCTATGTAATGCCTTTCCTTCATCAATAAACTGAACCTTTCTGTTTCTAACATAATGGAGTCGCCACGCAATCTAGTACAAATTTCAAATCACGGTCGCAAATATGGTCTCTTGATGAGCCCCATGCATTGTTGCCCGCCTTGCTGTTGCATGCCTAGATCTGGGCGCTTTGCGCCAATTTACGAACCACACGTTGCAGCACTACCGAGCCACGAGCGTGTGCTCTAGGCTAGCTAAATCCATGCTCCCTGCTGTTTTTATGTTGCCTCAGTTCTATTGTTTCCTCGTTAATCAATCCTTCGAGACATGCTCTTTGCGCTTCATTACATCCCTCCTCCTAACGTACAGTTTCACCAACATCAGCTCTCAAAGTTGGACTACTTCCAATATAACTTTATTTGAATGGAGCAAATGCTACCATCTCTCCAAAATCCATATTCAAAAGCCTGGTCCATACATTCCTTTTCTCAGCACAACATAATAACTAGAATGAAGGATACAAGATGGTTTTGTACTATTGTGTTGTACTCGCTAAGAGCACGCACCTATCTAGCCTATAATAACATATGTATGTATGTTTGACACAACCCCTAGGCTAGATGAGGGGCAGTGCCAGGCAAGTGACAAGCAGCTCAGGGTGGCACTACCAGTCCAACCTCTAGGGCAAGGGTCCGAAGACCAATCAGCAAATGTACAAACTCAACAAGAGTAACCTAGAGCGGCACTATGAGTCCAGCCAGTGGAACAGGAGCCACAAGGCCAGTCAATGAAATATAAGATACAGTATACAAGACCAGGTCGTCTACGTAGACACGGATGTAGAATGGGGTCTGGCCTGAGCGAACGAAGAGTGAAGGGTCTGCAGAGGACAGGAAGAACTGCAGGTCAGCTAACGTAGCATGCTGCGTGTCGTGCCACTCGTGAGGTGCCTGCCGCAGGCCATAAACCGGACGCCTGAGGAGCCACTCGGTCCCAGGGGCAAAGGTGCCGGTGAAGCCTGGGGGACGGCATAGGTAGACCTGCTCGTGCAGACTGCCTTGGAGAAACGCTAGAGAATTCGAGGGAGCGCAGCTCATAGTCGCGCTGCACTGCTACGTGTAGCAGCGCTCAAAGAGTGGTCATCTTTGGGGTCGGGGCGAAGGTCTAAAAGAAGTCAACACTCTTGCGCTGACTGAAGCCTCTAGAAACGTAGCGTGCTTTGAACACTGGCGGCTCTCCAGGAGGGCGCTTCACCTTGACGTAGGTGCCGGTGGATCTCCAAGATGCCATCTCTGCGTCCATGGCAGCTATCCACTGAGAGGCCCAGGGTCCCGAGGTCGCCTCAGCGTAGGTGCGAGGGGTCGAGATGTCAAGAGCGCCTGGGTTACCTTCAAGGACTAGAAGCATGGAGCAGCGATGGGGAGCAACCTTAGACAAGAAAGCTAGCTCATACAGCCTCTCCTCTAGGACGTCACTGCCAAGGGCAAGAGCACCCCCGACGGACTGAGGACGGGCAGGGTCAGAGACCTGAGGAGTGGCGTAGTCAAGGCAGCGGGTAGAGGCAAAGTCAGCTACGGCAGCGAGAAGAGCGTCAAGGCATAGATGAGACAGGAATAGATGCAATGGTAACAAGAGAGGCGAGAGCCAGAGGACAAGAGGACTAGCTGCACAAAGAAAATAAGAGAGAGGAGGGTAGAGAAAACAAGCGACGACTGAGGAGGCGACGGGAGAAGAGGAGCAGGAGACGCGTGAGAACGGAGCAACATAGGGTAAGAACGCTGAATTGGGGAGACAAGACGAGCGCGAGAGGGACGACGAGACCAAAATTGGGAGGGACGCATAGGGTCAGGAGATACAGGAGGAGAATGAGGGGGGAAACGAGCCCAGGACGAGTCCGGTGGAGGGAACACAGTGTTAGAAATAGACTGCAAATCCCACTTTTGTATTTGTACTTTTATATCCTAGTTTAGGTTATGAATGTTCTAGTGGGTTGGGGTGTACTCACAAATCCCAACCTCACCCAATTGTGATCCCCCCAATCTCCAATTACCCAATTGGAGATTCCGGAGATCCCAATGGGGATTCCCTCCGATTCCCCCCTTCATCCATTCTCTCTCACCTTGCCATATACTAATAGAGCCTTGGGCTCCTTACCTAATTAATAATTTCAGCTCTAATTCTTATTCACAGGGCCGTAGACCAGCAGAGGAGGCGACGACGCGAGAGGCACAGGCGGGCAGTCGGGGGAGGGAAGACCAAGGAGGCGAAGGGCGGACACCTGCGGCAACTGCTGCTGCTGCTGCTCCGCGCCGACACCAGAACCTCCAGCCGCACCACGGCTACCCCCAAGACACTCCACGTTAGTACCACTAGGAGGAGAACCTGCTCCAGCACCGGTGCCAACCCCAGGACCGCCGGGACAAGCCACGAAAGTACCCCCAGGACGAGAACCTGCTCCAGCTCCGGTGCCACCCTCAGGACCGCCAGGATAAGCCACGACAATACCCCTAGGACTAGCACCCCCAGAATAGCACCCTCCTTGACACTTGCACCCCCAACGCTCGCGAACCCCTGAGGGTGTGGTGGCTGCAGCTGCGGCAGCGGCTGCTGCTGCTGCTGTGGCGACGACGGCTTCGACGATGGCTGCTCCGACGGCGACGACGACTGTTGCGGCGGCAGTGGCGGCTACTGCAACGGCTGTGGAGGGCGGAGACAGGCAGCAAAGCCGGAGCCACAGGGCCCCCATAGTCAGCCGACTCCTCCGCCAGGGGAACTGAGGGAAGCGGAGTGACGAGAGACACGCCACACAGGGCACGGGGGGGGGAGAGGAGCAAGAGCTACCGAGGGAGTGGGGACAACAAATAGGGGCGAGGAAACTGGGAGATAGACTCGTCAAATGTGATGTCATGCAATTAGAAGAAGCGGTGAGACGGCGGGCGGTAAAAGTGTATAGAAGTAGAAGTCAGACGCATCTAAGGGAAAACCAAGGAAGACACAAGGACGGTGCAGGCAGTGAGCTTGTCTGTGCCAGAGGCACGAACGTGAGCGAGGCAGCCCAAGACGTGGAACGCAGACGCGTAACAAGGGGACCCGGTCCATAGGAGGGTCGGCGAAACCTGTGGCCGCGGGGAGTGTGGCCACAGGTTAAGTTGGTGAGCGGTGTTGCGCACTGCAAATGGCCACAAAAATGGGGTGCACCGGCATGGGTCATGGAGGTACGAGCCACCTCCATGACCAAACCGATGCGTCGCTCAGCGACCCCATTCTGCTGCGGGGAGTCCGGCAGGGTGTACAACTGGGTGATGGCCTCTGCACGACAGAATTGGCCAAGCCGACCGGAGGCGAACTAACCACCACGGCCAGTGTCACAGGATCGAATGACTCAAGGATCGATTGCACTATCGATCAGTACAAGGTGCTTTTATACTTCCAGAGTACATCAGGTAACCAGGTTTATCCTATCCAAGGGAATAGACCCTTCTAGAATATAGAATCACCCTGCGTATAGCCACGCGAGGCCATTGGCTTTAAGGGATTACGGCAGGATTACGCTGGATAATGTGCCAGTACATCCCAAGCCTGGTCGGTGATATAATTATAATAGCAGGATCAACCAAAGGATAATGGAAGAATGGAGAATAGGAAACCAAATGAGATGAGATAAAAAGAAGAATGAAATAGGAAGGAGATAAGAATAGGACAAGTGGTGTAACGGGGTCGTACTCTCACACTTCCCCCCCTCAAAGCTGGGTGGTAGAAGTAACACCCTACTTGACAAGGTAGTCATGCAGAGGACGATGGGCGTTACCCATGTCGGTTTCAGAGACCCAGAAGGATCATAGCCCTTCCAACGAATAAGAAGCTCCACGGTGCCATTCCGACGTCGACGATGTGCAAGCACGGACTCGACCTCGTACTCGGGTTCGTTCTGGACGAGGACGGGTGGCGGCGGCGGCGGCTGGCGTCCCACGAAGATCGTGTTAGGATCCCGATAGGGCTTCAGAAGTTGGACATGGAAGGCGTTGTGAATCTTCCAGGTAGCTGGCAGGCGTAAGCGGAAGGTAACAGGGGTAACCTGTGCTTCAACGAGGAAAGGTCCGCAGAAGCGAGGTCGAAGTTTAGATGGGAGGTGGCTGATGTCCAGGTTGCGGGTGTCGAGGAGCACCTGGTCTCCCACGGAAATGGTGTGGTCGTTGCGATGGCGATCGGCCTGGCGCTTCTGTTGCTGTTGAATGTCAAGGAGGCGCTTATGGGTCCGATCCCAAAGTTGATGCATGGTTGTGATGAAGTCGTGTGCAGGTTGGACTGTTGTTGATGTTGTCGGTTTTTGTGGTGTGAGTGGGTGGCGTCCGTAGCAGAGGAAGAACGGCGTCTGTCCAGTAGCGGCATGTGTGGCGTTGTTGTAAGCAAACTCCAGAACGGGCAGGTGCAAGTCCCATTTGGAGATCTCGTCCTTGCAGGCTGCTCGGAGGAGTTGCTCCACAATCTGGTTAAGGCGCTTGGTCTGTCCGTCTGTCTGTGGATGGTATGCGGATGACATGGCGAGTTTGGTGCTGAGCAGAGACATGAGTTCCTTCCAGAACTTGCTGGTGAACTTGGGGTCTCGGTCGGAGATGAGTGTAGTTGGAATGCCATGCTGTGAGATGATGTAGCGAACGAAGAGTTGTGCGGTCTCCTCGGTGCGTGCCGTCGTGTGTGTCGGGATGAAGTGTCCCATCTTAGAGAATTGGTCGATGACGACAAGAATTGCGTCATGACCGCTAGTGGTAGGTGGTAACCCGGTGATGAAATCCAGGCTAACCACTTGCCATGGCTGTTCTGGGACAGGAAGAGGCTGTAGCAGTCCTGTTTTCTTCTGATTACTGCTCTTCATCCGTTGACATGTATCACACGAGGTGACGAATTTCTGAACATCATCTGCCAAGTGAGGCCAGTAGTAGTGTTTTGCGATACCGGTCAGCGTCTTGTTGCTACCGAAGTGTCCGGCGTAGAGGACGTCATGGTATTCTTCGAGTAGTAACTGGCGCAAAGGAGGGTAATTGGGTACCCAGATTTTCGTTGATCCTTTCCGGTACGCAATGTCGTTGCCCCACTGTAGTAGATGTCGTTTTTCTGCCAAGGGAATTTCGGGGTCGATGGTATACCCGTGTGTGAAGAGTCCCTTGAGTAGTGGATTCATCCCTTCGGCCTGAATAGCGGCAACGTGTGCAGGCCGGCTGAGGGCGTCTGCTTTGTTTTTGTGGCCGGGCTTGTACACGATGTCGTAGTGGAAGTGTGTCTCGGGGAAGTCAATCCACTGGACCTGCCGCCTGGAAAGGGTTGGTTGTGTCTTCAGATATTTCAGACTGCAGTGGTCGGTGTAGACTGTTGTTTGACGTCCTTCGAGATAACATCTCCATGCTTTGAAGGCGATGACAATAGCAAGAGCCTCTTTGTCGTGTATCGGGTAGTTGAGTTCTGCCCCGTGCAGTTTCTTGCTGAGGTAGGCAATTGGTTGCAGTCCATTCCCCTAGTCTTGCATCAAGACTG